TTTACAGAAACTCCTGCCCCTCGCAAAAGTGCTGAAAAGACCATATTTAGGGACTTTAGCGATAGCAATATTACCAAATTTCGTTCACATCTTACTAATGTCAATTGGGAAAATCTCCCTAATCAAGATGTAGACAGTGCTTTCGATGCTTTTCAGTATGAATTTTCTAGATTATATGATCTTAGCTTTCCTTCTAAATCAGTCAGAGCAAAAAACTCGAACAAACCATTAACACCTTGGATGACAAGAGGGCTATTAACCTGTGTTAGGAAAAAGAATAAACTCTATAAAAAGTTCATTATTTCACGAAGTCCTGTCAAAGAAAGACAATACAAAAAATACAAAAACAAGCTTACGCATTTGATTAAGATTGCTAAGAAAACATATTATGAGAATAAATTTGAAACTGCAAAAAACGATCACAAAACAACTTGGAAGCTAATAAACGAAGTAATTAATAAACGTAGAACAAAAACCTTACTGCCTTCCTCGTTTATATCAAATAACACCCTTCTCTCTGATCCTAAAGATATTGCTAACAGGTTTTGCAAATATTTCGCTAACATTGGTCCTGATCTTGCAAGTAAGATTCCTGAGACTTCAAACTCTTTTCTTTCTTTCCTAAATTCAAATAGCGAAGAATCTATTTCACTTCATCCAACAAATGTAATGGAGCTTTTAGAAATCTGTAACTCTTTTAAAACAGCTAAAGCTCCTGGTTATGATAATCTATCCATGTATGTAATCAAAAAATCTATTGACCTAATAGTACAACCTCTTGTTAATATTATAAATCTTTCTTTATCCAAAGGGGTCTTTCCAAGTAAACTAAAGATCGCTAAAATTATACCAATTTTTAAAACTGGAAATCAAAGTTTCTTTACAAACTATAGACCTATATCACTCCTGACAAACTTTTCAAAGTTATTTGAAAAAGTTATGCAAATCAGGTTAACATCATTCATTGAGCAATGTGAAATTTTGTATAGATTTCAGTTTGGTTTTCGTAGTGACCACTCTACTATGCATTCACTTGTTTCTCTAATAAATAACGTTGCCACGGCCATTGATCAGAACCAGATAGCTGCTGGAGTGTTCATTGATCTTTCAAAAGCTTTTGATACTTTAGATCATGAAATATTATTTACTAAATTACAACATTATGGTATAAGAGGCGTTGCACTACAATGGATCAAGAGCTATTTCTGCAATCGTGAACAATTTGTTCAATATAATGAAACCTGTTCCTCCATGGAAAAATTAAAATGTGGAGTTCCGCAAGGTTCTATTTTAGGCCCATTATTTTTTATTTTATATATCAATGATCTACCGAATGCATTAGAACTGTCAAAATCTTATCTTTTTGCTGATGACACTAGTATATATTATTCAAATTCGGATATCAAGCAACTTGAATTTGTTTTGAACAGTGAACTTCGAAAGCTGGATATCTGGATGAAGTCAAATAAATTGTCTGTGAACATCAGTAAAACAAACTATATCATTTTTCGGCCGAGACAAAAGAAAATTAATTTAAATCTAGTTATCCAATATAACAATCAAATGATCACCCAAAAACAATACATAAAATTTTTAGGAGTATATATAGACGAACATTTGTCATGGAAGGAACATATTAATTATATTTGCAATAAAATCGCCAAGTCTGTTGGAATTATTTACCGATCACGATATCTACTGTCATCCGCAACAAGATTATCCTTGTACTACACACTTATATATCCCTATCTTACTTATTGTAATATTGTATGGTCTTCCACTTATGTAACCAACCTCAATAGAATTCTCCTTTTACAAAAACGAGCTGTACGTATTCTTACAAATTCCGAATACCGTGCACACTCTGATCCACTTTTTAAACAACTCAAAATATTGGATATATTTAAGCTAAATACATTTCACATTGGCAAGTTTATGTTTTTATATCATCATTGCATGTTGCCAACATGCTTTGATAATCTGTTTACAATAAACAATCAAATACATGGTTATAACACCAGATCTGCCGGTAACTATAGATCTCATGCTTGTCGAACTAATATTAAGCAGTTCACCATCTTATACTCAGGACCGAATATTTGGAATTCTTTACCTACAAATATAACTGCGATAAACACAATCTCGTCTTTCAAGATGCAACTTCGTAATTTTCTGCTTAGCGAATAAGGAACAGCTAACTCTGATCAATATGCTACGACCATGTTTATCGAATATTCAGTAATAATATATAAAATTATTGGAAAATCTATTATATATTTTCGTAAATTTTCTCTCTTATTATAAACTTCATTATGTTTCAATTTCATTATATGTGTCTGTAATTTAATTTCAATTTTATATTATATATGTCTGTAACCCTAAATTATACCGATTAATTAAATATTTAACTTTGAATTTTTGAGATGAGGTGGCCTCTTTACACAAGCTCTAAGCTTCTTGAGGTCTCCTCGCCGACTTTATTTTATTAATATCTTGTAAATAGCTAACAGTCTTTCTTTTGTTTTGGCAAATAAATCAATCAATCAAACTCGATCATTGATATTCAATTGTTTAATCTGTGTAGTTTTAGACCTTTTGTTTAACAATTCGTTAATAGCTTGCCAATTAACTTTCTTTGCTATTTTTAACATTACTTAGCTTTGCTTTAAAGTATTCTTCTTTAGTTTTTTTTATGAGACTATTTAATTTTTTCTTACACCTCTTATAGGCCTTGTCATAGGTTGTAGATCCTAGTTTGATCGATTGCCTTTTAAGATGTTCTCTATGATAGCTCATGATCATTTGCTTTCTCTGACTTGTTAACCATGGTTATATTCACTTTTAACACGGCGCTGTCTGATTGGCGCATGCTTATCTGCAACGCTCAAGAATTTAGTTTTGAAATCATTCCATAACGCATTTGGGTAAAGATAAACAAGACTATGATCACTGATACCAAGTTGTTTGACTCCTGCTTCTAGTATTTTACTATCACCAGAATATGTGAGAATAATATCAATTAGCGATGATGTTGTATGAGTAGTTCTCGTAGGAGATTGTATATGTTGTTGCAATTGGAAAATGTCAATTAAATCAACCCATTTAGAAGTAGGCAGACTTTTACTTTGCTCAAGAAGGTTACAATTGAAATCACCGGTTATGATAATTTCTTTATTTTAATCATCAAGTTGTTTTAAGAATTGCTCAAGATCATTTAATAACTCACAGCTGGAGTTAGGTGGTCTATACCATGTTGATATTAACAGTGGTTTACTTTTAGGCTTTTTGAGCTCAACGCAAAGTAACTCTAAATTATCAGGCATAAGATCTTTGCGAATGGTAAATGGTATATTATTTCTAATGTAAATTGCAACCCCTCCTCCGTTTCTATTTCGGTCACGCCTAACAATATCATATTAAGCAGGGATTTCAACTTCCCCATTTAGTACGCTATCGTCTAGCCTAGTTTCATTCAGTGTTATGACGTCAAAAGGTTTATTTCGCATATATACCAAAAGCTCATCGTAATGTTTTATCAGACTAGCTATATCTAGCCTTTGAGTTTAGAAAAGGGAGAGTCGACGGCGTGTGATTGCTGTTGATTTGTATTATTATCCTCTATCGGATTATTACCGTCTGTGGGATTAATATTCTCTGTTGGATTGATGCTATTTGTATTACTATCATCTGTGGGATTAATATTCTCTATTAGATTAATATTATATGTGTTATTATCCTCTACGGGATTAATATTATTTTGGCTGTTCGTCAGTAAATTACAGTTTTTTAGATAATCTATAATGTTTTTGGCAAATTTGGCAGTTCCCTTCTTGTTTAGGTGAAGGCCGTAGGGATTCAGGTGGTTCACTAAGATATTATTGTGGGTTATAAGTCCCCATTTGTTATTATTGCATACCTGTAACAGTTTGTGATTTAACTCTTTGACTTTAGTACCCAGGCTTGGATCGTCAGATCTTATTATAACTTCCGATATCACGATCTTCAATTTCGGCGACTCCTTCTTTATTTCTTGGCACAGCATGGAAATTGACGTGGATATTTGCTGAGGTGTTTGCCGCTTTAAATCGTTAGTTCCGACGTGTAACACTAAGTAGTCAGGAGATTTCGATATTGCCGGTTTTACGAAATAACTCATGTCGGCAACATTGGCTCCACGAAAGGTTTGCACTTGAACATTACGTTTTGAGCTTTTGCGCAACTTCGAGGGATTCAGGTGTTTTACCATGGAGTCACCAACGATGGCCACATTAACACGATCGTCTGTTTGATTCACTGGGGTATCGTTGGGAGGCTCCAGACCTTCTTGCTCTTTTCTTGCGAACTTGTCTTTTGTTCGAGTTTGGTTGTCATGGCGTTTTTTTTTGTAGTTTGGGTAGCAGTATCTCTTCTTCGGGTACTCTTGGAAGCGGGACTACTTGTCTGATCAAAACTTGGTTCCTCATCAAGAAGGGGCGAGTAACTGTTTTTGGTTGGAATAGTAACGTAATAACTGCTGTCAGCATCATTCGCATCTGGATGATGTTCCGAAATAAGTTGTTGATCTGCATGGGCAGTGAGTAGATAACCCCCATATAGGGGCCAAAGGGTGCCGACAGTGACGTAACAATAGGAAGGATTATGTAACAATGGAAAAGTCATTAACATCAATTAACATCAATTAGTGATCACGATACCTTGAATCTTAATTAGTGATATCGATTGTTTATTAGAATAACAATATGTGTGCGTTTTTTAGAATAAAAAACAATGACAATCTCTGTTTGGCAAGGGCAATTGTTGTCGCTAAGGCAAAAGTTGATCTTGATAGTGAACATGATTATATAAGCGATTGCCGTAGACCATTACAGAGACATCGTGCTCAAGAATTGCATGAAAAGGCAGGTGTACCCGAAGGACAGTGTGGTCTTAATGAAGTCAAGGCTTTCCAAACCTATTTAACTGATTATCAATTGAATATTGTTTCAAAGGAGCATCAAAGTACTTTAATATACAGTAGTCCAGATGCTGAAAAACGTATTTATTTGTACTCGCACGATAATCACTATGATATTATTACATCTATGCCTGGATTCATTGCTCGTAAGAAATATTGTCATGCATGTAAGAAAGGTTACGATAAAATTGAAGACCATCTTTGTGGTGATACATGCAAATTATGCTACACACAGAATTGTCCGATTGAAAACTGGGTACATTGTAATGATTGTAACAGATTTTTTAAGAGCACCGAATGTTTCGAACGACATAAAGCAAACAGTGGTCAATCTAAGTCTATTTGTGCATCAGTGGTTAAGTGTAATGAATGCAATTTAGTGGTGAAACGGGCTAATCAACATCCGTCTAATCATAACTGTGGGCTTGTACGTTGTTCTATTTGTTCAAAATATGTTCAGCCTGAAAATCATAAATGCTATATTCAACCAGCAGTAAAA